GGCACCCTGGCTGGCGGCCTGGCGATGAGGAAGGTGGCGTGAAGTACATTTTCAGAGGCGGTCCTGTGGCATGGGGGAGGGAAGCTGGGTGAAAGGCCCCCTACCCGCTCAAATTGAAACAAAATTGGCAACACTGCACCGTATCTCCCTCTGGAGCTGCGCCAGCCAGCCGCAAGCGTCCTGGCAGGGGGACGCTGGTCTGGCGAGGGATGGCCCTCTCACAGGCCCTGCTAGCCTCCTTTTTGTGCTTGGCGCTGGCCCCAGTGTGCCAGGTGAGCGCCGGGGCAGGAATGGTGCCCTGCCGCGGGTGTGGGAATCCACCCCGCAGCACATGCTGCCCCTGCCTCTCTGGCTCTGCCCCAAACCCGCTCACACAGCGCAGCGCCGCACACCGAAGCTTGCTGCACGCCCCCATGGCCCGCCCTGCAGCCCGCCACGCCGGCAGGACCCGCCGTAACGCTGCTGCCGCTTCCGCCTGGCGAGGTGGTGCTGCAAGCAGTAGCACACTTCCCGCTGCTGTCGCCGCCTTACGATGCGCGGGTGGCAGCTGTGAGGGCGGCGCTGCTGGCGTTTGGCAGCCAGGCCACCAGCCGCTATGCAGCCGCGGCCGGGCTCACAGGTGCGCACACATGCATCTGCCGCATCCCGCACCGCTCTGTTCCTGCGCTCCCATATTCCCTGCTGCTGATGCATGGCATGGTTGAGCCTGCTGTGCCAGAGTGCATTCATTCATTCATTCATTCAGCACACAGCCCGGCCGCCTCTTGCTCGAGGGCGGCCCACTTTGGCCTGGGCCGCCCGGGCCGCCCTCCCCCCCGGGCGCATGTTCGGTGTTGGAGGGGTGTGCCCAGCGATAGGGGGCCCCTGAAGGCATGCGCCGAGGCCGGGAAGCGTGGTTCGGCGCTGCTGCACGCTTGGCGATTTGACCAGAACCACGTGCCGCCGAGCTGCGGCCGCAGTTTCCGGCCCACGGTCTACGGTCGCAGCCACGGGACTCGGCGGCACGGCGTTTGGGCCCAAGCTTGCTGCCGCCGCCGCCGTGCCCGGGGGGCAGCGCGGCGGCGGCGGCACGCTGCGACGCCCCCGTGCTGCCGAGCTGCGGCCGTAGTT